TAATTGATCTAAAGTTGAATTTTGGGGTATACATGTTTACTTTCACACATAAACTTGCTTGCAGAGAGGAGTTTATGACATCCTCAAGAAAAAAAGAAAAAAAAAAAGATTAAAAAAACAACAGTAATTATGAAAAAAATGTATGCAAATATAGCTCTGGTATCAAAAAGTAGATTTTAAATGGCCAATGTGACTAATTAACCTACGTATTTGAAAGCAACTCCAAGCAAAGACAGACTTCTGTTGCATCCAGAAAATCAGCTTGAGAACAACAAACAGCCTGAAAAGTAGTCCCACAAGCTAAAGACGACAACGTTAATTATTTTAGTAGAGCCCATGCGAAAGAGAGGGACCAGTTATGAACAAAACCACAGAAAACCTTTAGTTGCGTCTTCACTCAACAAGTGGAGTCGATCAGAACAGCGATAAGGTCAAACACCACAGATAAAAATGGAAAACTGGAGACCAATAAGCCATAAAGCCAGCCTTCAACAACCAGGTTTCAAGCTAAACCCGCAGCAGCCAGTTTGGTTGGAAAGCTACAGTCAAAGCACTCATGTACCTGGTAAAGGACACGCCTGCAGGACAGACAACATTTCAACACATTTTAAAACCACTGAAGGTTGAATTTTGAATGAGACATAAATATACATTTAAAGAATGAGCACGTGTGCAAGGGGTTGTTTAATTTTAGAGTGAGTAAATCGTTAGGAGGAGAGGTCATCTAACACTAAAGAGTGAGAGGGCTGTGAGGTTTACTTCAGCAGTTGCTCCAAAACTCCATCTTTACAGATTTATGGAAGCAAAAAAATGTCTTATTTTTGTCAAGAGCTGTATCTGGTCACTGCAACCGGGCGCTGCCATGGTGTTTTCCAGCCAAATTTAAAATAAATAAAGTTTGTCTAAGTTATTTTTGAGGGGCTTTCTTCCTTTATTCCAAAAGGAAGTACTGAAAAGACGGATAAAGGAGCTCTGAAATAACCCCCACCAAGCCCAGATTAGAAACTCAGAGCAGAAAGAATTGTTAAAAACCAAAATTGGTTAATTTAGACAACGACTCACATCTATTGAAGCCATGCAAGGAAAACAGGCTGAATGAGCAAACAAACGTAGTGAGGGGTGAGCAGTAATTAGGAGGTGGAACAGTACATACTTACTATGGCAAAAGGTACTCTTTTGTATTTCCATCCCCTGATTGTAATCGCAGCCACAAAGAAAAAAAAAAAGCACAAGTAGAAACAAATGTCTATGCAGATCAAACCACAGGGACCATGGTAAAATTATAAAATAAATAAAAATGGGGTTGGGGTATATAACCGAAGATTCAAAATAAAAAAAAAAGAGGGGGAACAATTCTGAGAAGAGCCCAAAAAGATGGTGAATGCCAGTGAAAGGAGAGACGAGAGGCTGTACAGAGACGTCATAAACATTTCTGTATCAGATTACACCAGCAATCAAAAGCTGTACTATAAAAGACAAATAATACTTTTACAAAGGTGTAATCCAACAGTAATAAAGACCAAGAAGGAGAATAAAAGTTCAACTTTAACCCTGTGGTTAATGAAGCTATAAAAATCTACTATTTGAAATATTCACCCTCCTGGTTATTTTTTTTTTCCCCTGCAAGAATTATCAATAAAAAGGGGGAAAAAAAATAAAAACTCCTCTTGGACTTTTATTACAGAAACACAAAAGTTGTAGTAGTAGTATTAAAGACCACAACAGACCCAAAGACAGAGACAGGCAGGTGGAGAGGCTCCATCTGCAAGTCCTTTAAACACAAGAGCCGAGGGACACCCATGCAGAACCAGCGACCATCAGGCTAACGTACCTTCCTCTGCTCTGACCGGGGTGCTCGGCGGTGTGGATGTGGGTTTAGGGTCATCCTCCTCAGCCTCTACTTGTTGCTCTAAATCTGAAAGAAACATCAGCATTAAAAAGCTGTTAACAGCAGATCCAGCCCTGACAATGAATACTACAATGCAGCAGCACTAAAGGAACTCCAAGAATCGTTTTCACAAAAATTCCCCTTCCATTCATACTTTGTGCGTCTGCCTCTGGTGAATAAGGGAAGATGGATGTTTCTAGTCTAACATTTTACATAATTGGGAACTGTGATGGCCATGAAAGAAGGATTTCTGTTGCTTAGGAAGAAACAAGCCCACAGCATCACGGTTCCTCTTCTAAACTTTATAGTGGGCAAGAGATTCGCTCCCACTCCAACTATAAAGCTAACTGGGGTATTTATTAAAGAAAAATATACTTTTTAGGTTAATCTCACAGAGAAGCACACATAAAACTTAACATGATTACACCTCTGTTATTCTGGACAAAAAAAAAAATAAAGAAAAAAAAACAGATGTCTGATTGGTCTTTATGTACAATTTGCTACCATAATGTCCCCTTTCAATGCAGATATTAAAGAGGGAGCTCTGGAGATCAGCAGTATTTGTTACCATACAGTTTACACAAATAAAAACAGACATTAATTTTTTTTTAATCTATTCTCTAACTTCTTTCTAAAGACCTGTTTCCATTATTTAGGATTACCGTATTTTCAGGACTATGAGCCGCAACTTCCCCCCCCCCCACACTTTGAACCACTGCTTTTATATAGATTTTTCCTAACCGTCAAGAGGGGGAAGTCAAAGTTGGAAATGAAAGAATAAGGGGCTAATTTTTATTTAGCACAAGAACATGGTAGCAGCATGCACAACAGAGAGCAAATATCCAGAATTCTCACATTTTGCCATTTATTTGCCACATTAAAGCTGCCAAACCAATGAAGTGAAAGGGCCCAATTCCTGCAGAGCTGAAATGGAGCTGATTAAGATCTTATTGCTGTGAGCTAACAAGCTAAGGGGAGCTAGCGCTTTTCTTTGTCCTTACTGCGATATGTAGAGCTCCTCCTACAGGTTTGGTGGGGGACAGTTCAATAGATATCAGCGGCTTATAGCCCGTAGCGGATTATATGTATATATGTTTCGAGTTTTTTTTAAAAGAAATTTGTGAGATGCGCAATATAGTCCAGAAAATACAGTATATATATCTTTCTGCTTAGTGTGCTAGTGTTATATTATTTCCAGGAAAATTACATAATGAAGAATGAATGTTAAAAATGTCCCAGAAACACTGATCTGGTTAGGTAATACTATATGCCTCAGGTAAAATTATATTTAAGCAATTATTGAGTTCTGAATTAATGGTGCTAAAATACAATGGCAGATAATTATTTCAATGATCCCAGAAATTGGATTTTTTCCCCCCCAAACCAAGCTGATTAAATGTATTCATTAAAAGTTAATTTGTGCGTTTTCATCACCTTTTTCAATAATTTTTGAAGAATCACATAAGAAAAGCCTGATGGAAACAGAAAAATTCAAATAAAGTCCCTTTAATTTGCAAAAACGTCTTTAACGCTTGAGGCATTTGTGTTTAATGGAGGACCTTGAGAGTCACTGATAAAGTAAACCAGCCATTTCTAATGCAACATTTAAATCTTGAAATTTATAATCCTAATCAAAAAACATTTTCTAATTGCACTTTTTTAAATTGAATTATTAAAGAGGAATTGTTAATTGTATTAATCCATTATGAAATACTGGAATTTATTGCAGCCATGCCTGACGACATAATGGAGACGATGTAAGACGGCAATGAGCTTTACGGTTATCTTGCGTCAAACCAAATGGAAATGGAATGGAATTTCTTCCCCCCCCCAACTTAAGTTTGCTTAAAATTTGAATTTCAGTTGAATGGAAACACAGTTAATGTTTACTGTCACTCCTAAATTTCCATTGTAAGATCATAATTAATGCAACACAAGCTTAATGCATTTTAAGTAATTTCACACATTAAAAGGAGGCAGGATGGGTAATAAAAACATTAAAATAACTAAAATCCTTAAATTTCTAAATGGAAGAAAAAAGGTTGTAGGACAATTAGCTTGTTTTAACACAAAAAAGGAAAAACAAAGATACATAAACCAGGAACAAAACACAGCAGACCTATTGAAACATTTTCAATAGAGAACCCTCAAACCAGATTGAAATGATTCGGTAATGGAAACAAGAGACACATGACACCAAAAAAATAAACAAATCAAAAGACAAGTTAGTAGGAAGAAAATGAATTTATGAATCTGATCCTTTGATTGGATTACCAAGCTCAAATTTCTCTACAAAGGGACTTTTATTACATGAGGAGAGAGGAACTCCAGGCATCCTCTCTCCTCTGTTCCGTCCAATCAAACTGCATAGCAGAATAAAATTCGCCACAGATTTGATGCCTTCAGACAAGACATCAGAGACACAGGGATCGAGGGGGAGGACCCAAAACAAGCAGTCTTCAGAGATGAAATATGGGAAAGGAGGAGGCTAGCATAAGGCCAAATAACAGCAGCAGACTCCACACCCTCAGAGAAAGGAGAGGAAAACGCAGGCAGGAATTTCTAGTTCCCCATTGAGGTTGTAAGACAAGCCCAGGATGAGCAGGGAAGGAAGCGGATGGCCTCTGGTGTACCTGAAGCCTGACCTCCCTCTGCCGCTTCTACAGCTGATGGCTTCTTGAGGGCCTGCAGCACCGCGCTGTGGAACTCCTTGTGCGGAGAATGCTGCCCTGACGGCACCTCGTCTGCAGCTAAGAACACATCGTCTGCTACGCCTCCGCCCGCAGGCTGAGGAGGAGTGACCCTCTGGGAAGCTGGAGGTTGGTCCAAGCTTGGTGAATCAGTTGGTGTGGAAAAAGAGGTTTGACCCGATGATACAGTCCGTGGCTTAGGTCTGGGTGCACCAGAGGTTGATCCTTTCGTACATTCTTGTTTTTTCACTGTAAATCCATGTTTTAATATGTTTGTGTGCAGACATAACAATATGTACAACTTATGACCTTAAAAATCTTGTTTATCAATCACCAATCACTTCAGAAAAGTAAAACTGATTTTTTTTTTTTTTTTTTTTTTTTTTTTTTTTTTTTTTTTTTTTTTTTTTTTACACCTAAAAAACTAAATAAAAAAACTCAAGAAAAACTTTTTCTTGCTACGATTCAAAGGTTATTGCAGTCCTTTTTCCCTTTCCACATTTACCTTCACCACCTTTCTGTTTCTGCTCCACCTCCCGGCGGTATTCTTCCAGCTCCTGGTCTGTAAATTTATTGAAGGGGTTGGGACCAGTCTTGCTCACAATAACTTTGGGCTGGTACTCCTTCTCGATGATGGCCTTGGATGCAGTCACCAGCTCACCCTTTAGGACAGACAGGACAGAAACAGAGCCTGGCGTCACAGGGGGAACAAAGCTATGGAAAGAAAACTGTCCAAAGCGCGGAAGAGTGGAAACGTAGCATTAGAAGTGGTGGCCAGAACCTTTCAGTATCTAGTGTAGCTTTTTCAGCAGTTTGTTTACTCAACGGCATCTTCATGAAGATCAGTCTGTTTTGTTTAATCCGACAGTTTTTATACAATCCTATACAAACACACACACAAGCAACACTTGCAAATGGAATAGACAACAGGTGAAAATTCTTGGCAATTAGCAATACACACTCAAAGGAGCGTTTCTGCAGGTGGGAACCACAGACCACTTCTCTGTACTTATGCTTTCTGGCTGATGTTTTGATCACTTTTGAATGTTGGTGGTGCTTTCACAGCCGTGGTAGATTGAGACAGACTCTACAACCAACACAAGTGGCTCCAATAGTGCTGCTCATCCAGGATGGCACATCAATGCGAGCTGTGGCAAGAAGGTTTGCTGCGTCTGTCATCATGTCTCCATCCATACGCCAACATCACGTTGTAAAACGAACTGTCCAGGATTTGGTGGATGCTTTAGTCCAGGTCTGGGAGGAGCTCCATAGGGATACCATCCAGCACCTCATCAGGAGCATGCCCAGGCATTGTAGGGAGGAGATACAGGCATGTGGAGGCCAAACAATACAGAGCCTCATTTTGACATTACATCAAAGTTGGATCAGCCTGTAGTTTTTCCACTTTCATTTTGTGTCAGACTCCAAATCCAGGCCTACATTGGTTAATAAATTTGGTCTCCGTTGAAGATTTTTGTGATATTTTTTTTGGTTACGTTCACACTGCAGGCCTTGATGCTCAATTCTGATTTTTTTGCATTGGCGTTCATATTTCCAAATATATGCGACTTGTATGTGATCTCCTATGTGAACTGCAGTGATACAACGCAAGTGTCCCCAATGTGCAGTAGAGGACGTCACAGACCAGCGTGCGCTTTTTTTCCTGTAAGTAAACATGGATGGTAGCACCGGAGCGCATCTAGCGGTCTTTTCCAACCATAAAAACTCAGTCTTTTCAATATGTTTAAACATAAATACTGCCCTCCGCATCATCATCTGCCTTGGTTGTCGTTTTTCTTGCCGCTTCGGCATAGCAAGACGCAGAATAGTGACCTTTGTTGAGTATTAATGACGTTCACACACAGGTCGCATTTGAAAAAAGATCAGATTCGTATCGGATTCAGGACCACGTAGCCAAGGGGCCTGGGTCGGATTGGAAAAAATCGGATCTGTGTTGTTCAGACAGCTATGAAAAGATCAGATCCAGGTCGCATATGGGCAACAAAAAAAAAATCGGATTTGGGTCACTTCAGGCTGCAGTGTGAATGTGCAAACTAAAACTGATGTTTACAGACTCAGAAACACTAAAAAGACAAGATTTGCGGCTAAAAATATAAACTTATTGCACTGAAACACCTTAATTCCTTGGAAAGGTTGTGTGCAGTTTCACCCCCCTTTTATTTCCCCCCCATATCTCCCTCTTCCCTCTCCAGTGCAAGTTGTTAGATCCAGGATCTATTTTGGACAAACGGTGCCCAAATGTTTGCATCCAACAAAAGGGGAAAATATATTTGTGACTGGCAGTAAGTACCTTTCTAATTGTTTTAGCAGGACTATAGGACCCCTCGGACACATCAAGGCCGTCAATAGTGTCTGTACAGTCAGAAAGAGGGGCGTCCTGCAATAGTGGGGAGGGGGAAACAAACGTGCAAATTCAACAAAGCAGTCACCGTCTTTCACAGACACTCACACAAAGGAGGAAAGACCACAGAAGAAAGTGTTTATCTGAAATATTAATCAGGGTATTTTTTGTCACTTAGTCATTTTCTGAGGTTTTTTTCATTCCAGTTCACATCTCGACTTTCCACCTTTGCATTTTAATACACGGTGCTTTTTAAAAGTATTTACACCCCTTAAACTTTTTCATATTTTCCTCATGTTCATTTCAATGTGTTTTATTGGGACATGATGGGACAGACCCACATAAAGTAGGTCATGATTAGACTGAAGGAAAAGAAAACAAAAGATGGATTTTCAAATTTCTTAAATAAAAAATCTGAACAGTAAGATGGCCAATTTTAACTAGATCAATCCAATAAGGATGAATGTCCAAAGTAATTTATGATGCATCCTATTTCCTTTAGAATTCGCTTTAACGATAAATGGAGTCCATTAAGAAAAGTATTTGTTCTGAGAAGGTCTCAGAAGCGAGCGAGAGGGAAAAGCATCATGAAGATGAATGGACAATCTAGCAGGGTCAAGTGTAAAAGCTGTGTAGAAGTTTTATGCTGAGTTACGTTATTTTTAACAACATAAACAGGCTGGACTATAAGAACTTTGATCACAAGCAGTAAGATAATTCTGCGGTGGCTGCAGAGATCAAAAAGGTAAAGAAAGACGACGTCTATACTATCAACATCTGTATCATCCCCACATGAATGTGGCCAGGTGGCATAGTGTTGTGATGGTTTTCTTTAGCAGTTACATAAAAGCTTATAGAAAGAAAAAAACATCTATATTAATAAAAAAATAACACCGAGGCAGAGATTCATTGTACTTCAGGAAGACAGCCTTAAACTGATTTTTTAAGTTAAAGCACAGCAGTCCAGCCTACATCCAGACCTAAATCCCATAGCTGATCATAAAAAGACATTTTAGCTTAAAGATCTGTAGAGATAAGAACGGACAAAAACAGCCGCAGCTGTAATTACAGTGAAAACACTGACCCATGTGGGCTGTAAACGGACAAATTATTTCCCTTCCTCTTAACCACTATTCACTCCACCGTGTTTATCTGATAAATTCCCAATAAAACACCAAAGCATGTAACTGAAAAAAAAGGTGTAAAATCTGAAGGGGTATGAATACCTTTTTAATGCACTTATATAACCAAACATACTGAAAACATAGAGTGTTATAGCACAGCAGTCTGAAAAACATGACAGCAATAAAATATAAAACCATCAGCATGCATTTCAGTCACCGCAAGGGGAGCCAAACTGAGATTGGGGCTTATACCGGTAATATGATAGGAAGCTTCATCACTCATGCCTCATTTAATGTTACTACCATTTTATTATGTTAAAACCAGAAATGCGAAATAGGAAAAATACTAACAGACTACTAAATTATCTGAAAGTCTAATTTCTTTCAGGTTTTGGGTCAAACATTTCCCAGAACATCATAGAGAGAATGCAAAAAATGCAAATAAAATTCACAGGATATAACCAGAGCCATGCAAAAAGATATCTGAGAGCCAAGACCTGATCTGCATCCTTTCCAACATATGAAATTAAAAAAATTAATATGCAAAAACAAAAAAATTAAACTCCAAAGGTTGCAAACAAAGCTGCGCCTTTTTCACGAATAAAACTATGCATGAAAATGGACACAATCTGAGCAGAAACATGGAAAACATTTGTTTACCTCTCAAACATTGCATACCCGTTATTAAATTAATTTATTTTACAATTATACATACACAGAAGACGTCTTGTCCTGTGAATTGGGTTGTTTTATGGTAATAAATATCAAAACCTAATTACTTCTCATGTTTTGTTTTTTCCAATGCAGCTCAGTGTCCATAAGAAATCCATGCTTCAAAGCATCAATCCTGACCTGGACTCAAGCCTTAAGAGAATTTGCTTAAAATTAACAAGAAAAAGCCTCAATGCCTCCATTAGCATTAAGTCCAGGTGAGGAAAGTTACAGCAGAAAAGCACTGGAGAGCTGATTTCACACTGACCTGGTTAAAAGATCGTTCCACCACAGAGCCGGAACACAGAACCTGTGACTGGGGTCCTGCAGTCTTTATGTCTTGCAGGTTCTGCTCTCGAATCTAAAAAGAAAGACATTAAAACGAAATTAAGTTGCTTAACTGATCCTCAGCTGCTTGTGCAGCTTCTTATAAAAGTCGACATTTAATGCCCTTAAACACAAAGAGGGTGTGGCACCTTATTCCTCATTTCCAGAACCTCCTTGGGGTCGGTGTTCATCGGGATAAACTGATTGGCTACGGCAGCCTGGCGAAGGCTTTCCTCCTTTGTCCACTGTAAACACGACGTCAAATGTTAAACGGTTAAAACCAGAACACCGAACAGAAAGAGAAATTAAACAAGACAAGCACAAAAATAAATGAAGACAAAACTCAATGCAGGCTTCACATTCATGCAAAAATCAAACCCAAAGTTGGATGACTTTAAAATAAAATAATAATAAAATACACAGAAAAGGTGAGGCAATGATGATGATTAATGTTTAGGGACGTTTTTCTTTATGTTTTGTGTTCATGTTTTCAGATAAATCTTCAACTGCTCATCTGTGATGAAGAATCTGAGGAATTTGGACCGTTTTCAAACAAAAGACCCATTTTCTGCCACCAACTAGAGCCAGTATTTATAAAAGATAAGAACCGCATCCATCATGAAGCTAGCTAGGGAGGTAAGGGTTAATCCAAGTCAGGAACTCAAACTACTAATTCATCTTTATTGATTTTTATTCCTTCAAGTATAATCTAATTAATTATTTTGGCTAAATTCTGAAAACAACCGGGAGAGACAGCTGACCTTACCCATTAAATTTATATATATATATATATTTTTTATTTTTTTTTTTCTCTCCATTCATTGCATAAATATCCGTTCATTGGGTCCAGAATGTTATGGAAATAATTATCTCATGAAAAGTAGTGGAGATCACAGATCATGGAATACAGAGAATGATACAGTTGGAGAATTATAAATCATAATATTTTATTTTCCATTATATTTCAGTATGTTACCTCACCAGAAAAAGGCAATACAACCTCTTTACTCCTTTAAATTCAGAAATTGTATGTAATGTAAAGAATTAAACACTCATCCAGATGATCAAAGAAGGAAAACATTTTTTTTTTTGGTTTTACTTCAGAATGGTGCAGTTTTTGAACATGACCAGGGGTCTCATTTAATAAACACCGAGTGGATTACATGCTAAAGGGTTATTATTTACGCCAAACCCACAGAAAATGAAGCGAGACAAAGAGTTCATTTTATTTAATGGTTACCAATGGTAACCGCAGCCAAGTGAGTAGAAAAAGGAAAAAAAAAGTGCAGTTTAACAGAGGTGTTTGTGTGAGAAGCGCAAGGTCAGACATATGTGTGGTAGCCATAGTAACTAAATAGAGGCATTATTAATGACACGTCAATCTAATTAGAACTGATCAGATTAACAGGAACGTCCAGGCAGCATTATGCTAAATGCCGACCGTCATATCTCAGGTTTATGGATAAATTCAAAGAATTATTCACTCAAAAAAGTGGCTTCACGCAAAAAGATCAAAACAAATAATTGTTCATTATGTTTAAACACTAATTTGTGCTGGTTAAAGCCAACAGGGGCCACAGAGGGGTTAACAGATGATATTAATAAATAAAATAAAAACTCCAAGGAGAACAGCACACCCATCTATAACATTTAATATGTTATAGATATATACAGCTTATTTTACTTGTTTCCTAATCTTAGTTTGATTACTATGGATCTTTGTTAAACTGATTGCAGCGTGGAGCCTCGTCCATTTTTCACTAATATCATATATAGAAATAATTTATATCTATAAATCATGAATATATTTCCAATTCTGAATGTACCAGTGACAGTTATTTTTTTCTATGTATTTGTGTTCATCCAGAACTGTGCATCCAGCTACCCTTTGGATTTATTGGCACTGATCTCCTGCTGTTTTGAACATGATGATGAGGATACGGGTCCAGCCATTCAGAGAGCAACGCTCTATGAAGCCTAATCAGCTGATAACTGCTCACCATCCAGGGTCAGGAAACAATTCTTCCATTTTCAAAGCCTCCAGCATAGTTTAAATCTATTGGGCGGTTTTTAAATGTTAAAATCCATGCATGTTAATTCCTCACCCTGTTAAATAAATTTATTGGTCAGTGTTATAACTCACCCCATCGATCAATGGGAAGACGAAGGAGGTTGGTGAAGAAAAGTAAATATGTAGGGACTTTGATTAAACTTGTCTATTTTTTTAATTTTTATATCTATTAAAAACCAAACGGCACTTGTATAACGTCATCATTAAGTGTGGAATTTGAGTTTCATTCTCATATCTTTGGATAATCTAGATTGAAAATATGGATGAATATCTATTGGGTTTCTTAGCTACTAACAGAACGAAATAAATCATTTATCATCATCATTGATCTATATTTTGAACTAAAAATAATCACAGTGAAGATCAACTGAAAACAATTACAGCGTAAGTTAACAGAAAGAAAGACAACAAGGGGAGGGTGGTGTGGGTGAGACGTGGGGGTGAGTGAAGGTGAGAGGTGGCTGGATGGGTGACCGAGACGATGAGGCTGGCTTACGAAGCGAGAGTGGCAGTGAGGGGTGAGCTGGCATCACCAAAGTCATTTCCCAGGCTGATACACAACATGGACAACAGAGATAAGAGAGAAACACACCCAAGAACACTTGGCCTTTTGGGGACAAATGGAAGCAACCATGACAGCACTGAGAACAGAGGACATCCTTCACGCAGAGGATGAAACCTTTCACAATGTGCTGCTTTTTCCAGAGATGTTTTGTTTATTTAGGAACTTGGTAATGCTCAGCATCCATTTCTAGCATTGAACAGAATGAGCAGCAAATCAAGATAAAACACTGACTTTTTTTCATGCCACATGGTGAACCTTTTGAACGTGAGAATGTAACTTGCAGTGGGGAGCAAAAGCTCATGACCTCATTCCTGTATTTACTCCAAGCCTGGCCATATTACCAAGGGAGAGCGTTCTAGATGAGGAAGGAGTTCTGGATGATCGGTTGAGTATGAGATGAACATGTGGACACGATATACTCACTGAGAAAGAGTCTCACAACATAACATGTCCTACTTTCCCAACAGGAGATAATTGATTCAAAAGGTCAGGTCAAATTTTATCATGTCTTTTTTCTTTATAGTCTTTTTTTATTTTATTTATCTTTGAAACAAATTAATTCATGCAGGTGCTGGCATTTTCAATCAAAGCTGCTTATAAGTATAAAACCAAAAGTCAGACAAATAATAGAGGGAAAAAATGAACTGGAAGCAACAGCATTAAAGATTTTTTTTTTTTGAAGCAATATGATGTTTCTTATACCCACAGCCACTGGTACCCCTGGTAAAGATGTGCAGAATCAAGTTCCACGTTCTCTACAGCAGTGATTCCCAACCTGTGGTATGCGGATTTCCTAGTGGTCCGCAAGTGCACTGCGAGGAGTTCATAAAAATATTTTATTTCTTACGTAGTAAAATAAAATATCATGAATCTGTCTTGATTTGTGAGGACCCAATTGAGAAATTAAACCAGCTTTTATCAACCAAGTATGTTTTTCTTATATATTCGAGTTCACCAAAAGAACATCATCGATGTAGAGAATAGCCGCCGTTTTTTTTTTTTACACTGAGCTATAGGAGCTCAGCGAAACAGTATGGGTGTCTTGATGAAATTAAAGTAAAACGACTTAAATCAGACCGACTATAATTTTTTTTTTCCAAATTAACTTTAAATGATGATCATGATTATAAGAGAGTTACTCAGAGGAGATACAGTTTTATAAATACAGGTTTATAAAAGGATTTTATTCTGTATTTTGTTCCCCCAACTCCTTGCTAACTTCCAGGAAATGTACATGTGTTGTTTTTTTTGTTTGTTTTTTTTTTAGATGGAAATATTAAAATGCCTAAGAATTAAATGCTCAGGTTAAAAGATTTAGTAAAATAGTTTTTGTTTTATTATCAGTTATTGTACGTTATAGTTCTGGATAGGGCTGCAACAACGAATTGATAAAATCGATAAAAATCGACTTTTAAAAGCGTTGGCAACGAATTTTATCATCGATTAGTTGTGTCGCGCGATTAATGCGTCATCCGCCGCCGTCATCATCACTGCCACTTTGTTGAAACGTGGGAAGAAAAGAAAATACGGCAGCGCGAGCCAGCGCTGCTGGTGAACAAAGGCTGTTTTCAAACGGCAGTAACGTCAACTGTTCTGATGACCGATACTGCAAACGCAAGCTGCGTCTCAATTCGCAGACAGCCTGCGCATTGTAAAGTGAAAAGTCGTAACATGCAACTTTTGTAAAAACAAAT